GAAATGCTGACACCCAGATTCCATGAAAAATTCTGCTCATCAGCACCATGTACATATTTGCACATGGATTCCACTTGAAGGCCTGTATTCCATGGCTCTAATTATAGTTGGCTTTGCCAGAGCCCTTTGTACCTGAAGATTTCAAGGCTTTAGAGGAGAGTAAACTCTACAAATCATGGGAGCACCCTCTGTCAGACTTCAGGCACAGAGGAGGTGCAGACTAAAACCTGGGTAAAGGAGGGGCCTAGCCAGCATCTCAGCATGTTGGTGAGAGTTTCACTCTAGGCCCAGGGAGAGGGTCTTATTCCTGACTGGTTTATGCTGTGCTGAGACAGCCTACCTGACAAGAATGCTGCAAAACAGGATCAGTGTGCCATGGCCTTTATATTCAACATTGCTGTTGGATGCATAAAAAAATCCCACCACACCTCCTTGTTATCCTAGGCTTTGCCCAGTCCAGTAACAGTCAAGGCTATGTGTTTTGCTAGCTGTGGGGTTTCAATTTGGTAGCTTTTCAGAAAAGTAACTCGTTCAAATACAGCAAATTGAGAGAAAGCGCAAGTTGGAGTGAAACCAGTTAAGAGATGCCTGCTGGTTCTCCTAGCTGTATAGCACACAGCAAAAAAAATTTTTTAAATTAAAAACTTAAAAATGCCCTGTTCCTAGTGTAGTATTTCAGAGATTTCTCTTTTGGGGGTTCTTTGCTGGTAGCTCAGGCATTTATTTTCACCATAGCAGCACATGACAAGGCCATAAACACGTGGCTTTAAACTAAGCTAGTGTTCGAGTATCCGCTTAACTATTCAGTGTGTAGTGTGCACACAGTTTGCTTTTGTTTCCTTGTTGTTTCTGCCTTCTTGGCAAAAACATATGCATGCATTTCATCTTGGTTTGCATTGGAGGCTCGATTCCATGACTCGCCAGGAAAAGACGTTCTTCCTTTCTGCTGCAGGTTTTAAAAATTAAAAACTTAAAAATGCCCTGTTCCTAGTGTAGTATTTCAGAGATTTCTCTTTTGGGGGTTCTTTGCTGGTAGCTCAGGCATTTATTTTCACCATAGCAGCACATGACAAGGCCATAAACACGTGGCTTTAAACTAAGCTAGTGTTCGAGTATCCGCTTAACTATTCAGTGTGTAGTGTGCACACAGTTTGCTTTTGTTTCCTTGTTGTTTCTGCCTTCTTGGCAAAAACATATGCATGCATTTCATCTTGGTTTGCATTGGAGGCTCGATTCCATGACTCGCCAGGAAAAGACGTTCTTCCTTTCTGCTGCAGGGCACACCATAATCGCTGGTCAAATAACAGAGCATTCACATTGTGTAATATTTGCATTAGAATGACTCAAGCTCTAGAACATTCCAAACTGGAAACATTTTAGTATGAAAACCTAGGAAGAATGAACCAGGAAGGATTTTTCAGCCACTCTACCAAACTCCAAGCTCCTTGAGAGCAGGGCCTTTGTGAGCTGCACCTTTCATTCTTCAGTAGTGCCTTGAACATCAATCACAAGCACTCCAGAAATGTTTGCTGAGTGAGCAAGTTAATGATGTGGTCAGTGAATGACAGGGGACTAATTTAGGAATGGGTGGGGATAGAGTATAGTGGCAATATCGCAAGGGTAAGCTGAGGAAAAAATGATTGCTTCTGCCTGGATTATGAAAGAATCTTCTCATGAGAGCAAAGAAAGACCATTTTATGTAGACATGACTCTGGATGCATGAGCTGACAAGTCGTAAGGAAGGCATGGACAGGAAAGTCATAGTCAGGTATTAGCAGGAGATGAGGCTGAGACTTGGCATCCAGAATAGGAGATTTAGAGAAAAGTGCATTCTGAGATGAGTGCAACATTTTCAGATGAGTTGGGGGTGAGTCTGGAGTCTGAAACTCCTGACGAGTCAGATACAGCTGAAGATCCTCGTGGGTGATGCAGAGCAGAACTTGTTATCAGCCTCATAAGTGTCCAGAAATGGTACTCATGATGGGATACCTGATCGGCCAGAATCAGAATCTTCTCTGGAACAACCTAGAGGGTAAATGTGATTCTGCAAGGTCAGAGAGCCAATCATTTGTAGAGCACTGGTCCATTATGTGTAACTGTAAAAGAAAGCCACAATGCTTACACATGAAGGTAGCACCGTTTCGTTTGCTCAAATCTTCTTGCACACCCCATCCATTATTATCAAATAGGATGCATCCTTAGGAAGCATACAGACAGGTGGCTTAATGAATCCAGTGCGGGAAGGAATGGAGACTGAGCTCCCAGTGTGTCCCTAGCAGCTTCCATGTACAAGGTCTAAAAGGACAAGGACCACCTCCTGTGAGGACCTGTCCTGTGACATAGTAACCCGTGTGAAAGGAACGCCCTGCAATATTCCTGCCTATCTCCCTTTCTTTCTGCCCTTGACCCCATAACATACACTTTATTGAATGCCATTACTTCTCTGGTGTATGCACGCTTGTTACATAGAAAGAGACGTTAAGAGACATAGAGTTGAAATTTAACTCTTTCATGTAGAACTGTTCATTTCACTTATGTTTTGTACTTCATCTTAGGAATCAGGTACTTTGGTGACCGATGTGGATTTTATTTCCATTTTCAAGCTCTATCTTCAAATTCTCTAACCTGTTCACTAATGCCTTGTGTGCGTTGTACTAATCTTTTATATCATGCCTTCAGGTGAGAAAGAACAAACGCCCCTCAGGGGTTGCTACTTGCTGTCATATGCTGGCTGTGAAGGTTAAAAGAAAGAATGTATGCGTGATGTTTCTGCCGTGTGCGGTGCCCTCACATGGTACTCCAGGCCTCCTGGAGGACTCCTGCCGATTCCTGTCATTGAATGGGAAATAGTGTTAGAATGTGTTCACACAGTCTTGTGATATCCAGCCTCAGTCTCTTTATAATTATTTGTTATTCTTGGATATTACACACCTGCTCAGACTGAGTCAAACATTTGTGGTGCTGTCAACCTGATTTCTTGACTCATGATTTTTGTATTTCCAATACGAACTTGTGTGTTATGAATTTCTGATTTCTCCAATAGTATATGCCGTTATATACATTTGTATTAATAAATGACAGACTGGTTTGTGTTTGGTTGCTTTTTTGTTTTGTTTTGATTTTTTCTCCTTTTGTTTATTATTTATCTCATTAGCATAGATCGCCGTTGAGATGGCAAAATCTTTCTGAAATTTGAGGCACTTTTTCTGAGGAAATCCCTTTGGTGAGGTTGAATCTGAGATACATATTAAGAGCAAGATGCTGAATAAATTACACCTCCCCAGATCATCACAGGTTTTTATTTTTTGACAATCTGTTGACATCCCAGGACAATGAGGAATAATTAAAATCTTCCAGTGCAATACAACAAGATAATTATTTACACTCTAGTTATGAAACCTTTCTAGTATAGCTTGATACAGTCCTAGGATGATTATGTCCTTTGATGCAAATGCAAAGATTTGTCGAGTGTCCATAACTCGCCTTCCAGATGCCCAGAGCGTCATAGAGGAGTGTGTTGGCTTGTGGAGGAAAGTGAGAGTCACGTGGAACTGAGTCCAGTCTGAGTATTCTGCAAGCCTGTGCATGTGTGTGCTTTTCCTCTTTCATAAACCCCAAACTGCTGATGACAGTGACCAGCAGGGCTCCATTGGCCCATTTGCACACTCAGCAAGACTGGAGAAAGTGTTTTCATCCAATCTGGTGAAGGAATGCCACAGCCAAGGCCCAGGAGTTTCTGAGATGCTGCCTGGGCATAATGTAAATGTCACATCCTCGTGGTTTCCTATGACTGTCCCTTGCAGACTCTCCTAATAGGCTCTAACCCCTGGAGTGCATTTCTCTAGGGTGCATGAAGAAGCTGTACCGGGAACCAATCGGTGTATTGTTAGGACTATCTATGAAAATAACTCTGAGACGTGAAAGTTCATGGCCGTAAACTTTAGGAATCTTGGGAAGAGCTGGCAGAAAATGAGTTCCCATTTAGATTTTAAGATATCATAGATTTGGGTTTCAAAGAAATGTCCCAGGAGGGAGGGAGACGTTTTTCAGGCTATGTTACTAGGTTGGAATGCACGGAGTTGCTGATTTTGGAGGTGATGAGTAGTCCCATTTCAGTAGTTTCATATGCCTCGACCAAATGTGTAATATTCTGTCTCAAGAGAACTCAAAGCTGAGCCCTTTAGAACGCCACACTGAGAGTAACTGAGAGCCCTGGGGAATTCTAGGGCTGTATTGGACACCCCTGGTCATGCTCCAGTCAAGAGCAGTGATGGGCTGACTTCGTGATGCAGTGGTAACGCACTGCTCAAGTGAAGCCGAATCCACTTTGAAATTCTTGTGTTCAGTTCCTCTGTTTACTGGGTGTTCCCAGGATTCTAGCTTGTGAGGAGGTATGGGAAGGATCAAGAAAGATGGTGGCATGAGAATCTGGGGTTTTCTATCACTAGCTCTCACTCTCATGAAAGGAATAAACTTTTAAAAGGAAATGAGAGGAGGCCAGGGAGTGGCAAAGCAGTAACACAACTAGACCCACGTGGGGAGGATCCCGAGTTCATGTCGTGGAACTTCCTAAGCACACCAGGATGCTACGTGCCTGTGAGTCAGGCCAGCAGAGACTAGGGGTAAATTGTGGCACAGGGACCCTGTTGGGGGTTCTCTCTCCAGAGAAATAAATAAATAAAATAAAACAAAAAGAGCAAAGCCTCCTTTATAGTCTCTTTCTCATCAAGTCCTTATAACAACCCTATGGAAGTTTTCCTGGGTAATTATCTTTGAAAGTCCCATGTGAGCACCAGAATTCCAAATCCTTAAAAGCCTTCAAAAGCACAACTCGATGTTGTTTTAAAATGGTCCCAAGCTCCTATAACCCAAAGATAATGCATGTCATGAAAAACTCCCATCACCTGATTGATAGAACAAAATAGAGCCATGCTACAACCCCTTTCCTTCAGAACTAGTGGAATTTTCCCCTCAGGTTCATTTCAGTTTAAAGCCAAGTTCCGAGACTAGTCAGCAAGTTCTAAAAGTTTATTAGAATTTCAATCTGCAAGAATTTCCATCAATTGTTAAAAATCAGTTTCAAGATAACATCTTTAGAAACCTACCTAAGGAATATTTCAGAAATGAACCAATGCGCCATGGCATTAACTCCCCGAAGCCCCCACCACCACCACCCCATGCACTGATTGTGTGTCCCACACAGACTCTCTGCCCTCCTCCATGCTCCAGGAAACTGACTTTTTTCAGTGGCTGTCCCAAGATTCCCTTGCCTCTTGGTTTCTGGTTGAGATTGGCCAAGTGATCTAACCATGATGGGAGTGAAGCTGTGCTGTGTCTACCCTTCGCCCTGCTCCTTCCTGCTTTGCTGTGGTTCTGGCGTGGCTGCATTTCCTCCTGGACAGCCTCTCTTCCATAGTTCCAGATCTCACAGCTACTGACTAAACCCTTCCTTGCCTGTCCCATGTAAGGCTCGAGGTAGTAACAATTTCATTCTGTTTCCAGTCCTCAGAGACTTCATCACCCCTTTGGATGCCTTACCCCTGCCCACACTGCCCCTTATTAAACTCTTTATTCCAACCTTTGGAGAACACCATCTCTTTACTGCACAAGCTCTTGTACATTCTGTGCCATTTGGTTATAGTTTTCTGATATGTCATTGCTGCTGGGCCTTTTGGCTAAGATCAAGTATAGGATCTCTTTTCAGTCTTCTAATACAAATTATGAACAACTGAACCCACAAACTCAAATCATGTTTCAGTTTTAAACTTGCCCCTTATTATAAATAGCGACATCAGAAAAATGTTGAACAATGGGCTTTGGGGACAGGAGCCTGATTTTCACTCTGCTGGACTTTGAGTTGGCATACTGCCACCATGGCTGATTTCAACCTACCAGTCTAATTTGACTAAGTATGGAGTTGGGACGAGATGCACAACTTTATGTAGTATTTCCACTGCACAGTTATATAGATCGTCACAAATATCAGTATTCAAAAAAGTAGCCAATAGTAAGAAGTGATTAATTTTGAGCACTTATATAATTTCTTTCACACATAAGTTGGTGGTTTTTATTTAATTCAATTTTTAGTAACAGCTGTGTTTAACAACTGGCTTGTAAAACTCCTGAAAATTCAGCAGTCTGCTCTCCCACATGGTGTAAGCCAGCTCCAGCATGTCTCTGTAAGAGAAAACAGATACAGACGGGACCAGCAGTTAGCGTAATGGCTATGTCGCTGGACTCCCACGTAGTCGACTGTGGTTCGCGTCCCGGACCCGGTGGCTTAAAACGCACGCCGGGTGCGTGTGCGTGCGTGCCCAAGATCCTGAGAGGAGAATGGAGGAGAAGGGATTGTGATGTGGCCCTCTTTCATGGGGGGTGCTTTTTCATTTTTTGGTGCTATCTCTCTCTCTCTCTCGTAAGCACACACACCCTTATGGCAGAAAACTAAAAAAAAGAAAAAAAAACATATATATATATGTTTTTTTTTCTTTTTTTTAGTTTTATGCCATAAGGGTGTGTGTGCTTACCAGAGAGAGAGAGAGAGAGAGATAGCACCAAAAAATGAAAAAGCACCCCCCAGGAAAGATGGCCACATCACAATCCCTTCTCCTCCATTCTCCTCTCAGAATTTTGGGCATGCATGTATCCTTACCCAGCATGATTTGCAAGCCTCTTGGTTTGGGACTCAAACTGCTGTTGGCCATGTGGGAGTCCAGCACTTTATGCCACCTGCTTGGCCCCGAGAGCAAACATATATTTGACATTCAACAACCTCTTAGTCAATTCATTTTCCCCTCATGCTTTACTATGTATTTTTAATATACCTTAGTAATTTTGCTCTCAATCTTTGCATTTGACTCCCAAAGTGTTCTGTTGAGCAGAGGAAACACAAGGAAATTACCTTCATATAAAACTATAAAATACTTTTCTGTATTGAGAATAGTGGAAACTTTATCAAATAATCTTTTCTGAATTCTCCTTCTGAATGACTATAAAACTGGTTTCCAAGAGCCTAACATGATCATCTAACAGTTCCTTCTGAGAAAATTCCTCCTTTGGGGAAACATATTTGTTTTATTATATGCTGTGGCAGGATCCTAGTCTAAATGGTGGCACTTAGGAAAGTTGTAGAACTATTGGGTCATTAAAAAAGTCATGATGCATTTTTGCATAGAAAAACATGGAAGACTATGTCTTGATTTTTCCAACAACCCAAGAGAACAAATCTTTTAAACAGTGCATTTTAAAGTTGCCATCCTGAAACCAGAGAAATTAAACTCAGAACCTGAAGCTATTAAAATTTAAATCCTACAGGGACCAGCAGTTAGCGTAATGTCTATGTCGCTGGATTCCCATGTAGTCAACCATGGTTCGAGTCCTAGACCCGGTGGCTTAAAACTCACGCCGGGTGCATGTGAGTGCGTGCCCAAGATCCCGAGAGGAGAATGGTGGAGCAGGAACTGCAGTGTGGCCATCCCCTCGGGGGGGTGATTTCTTGCTTTCTGTCTCTCTGTCTCTCTCTGTCTTTCTGGCGAGCACACGTGCTCTATAGCAAAAACCTCTCGGAAAAAAAAAATTTAAATCCTACAGGTAAACATCACTCATTACTTCCTTCTCAATATAAATCCAACCCTGATGGCTTAATGGTTACATCACTGGACTCCCAAGTAGTTGACCACGATTCAAGTCCCTAACCCGGTGGCTTAAAACTCATGCTGGGTGTGTGTGCATGTATGCCCAAAATTCCAAGAGAAGAATGGAGGAGAAGGGGTTGTGGTGTGGCCATCCCTCCAGGCTGGGGTGATTTCTCACTTTATGTCTATCTCTGTCCAGTGGGCACACATGCCCGATGGCAAAAATCTCTCTTACAAAAAATAATAAATCCAGCCCCATCACTTTCACTTTCTATTTGAGTGCAGGAACATAATACTTTTTTTTTTTTTTTTTTTTTTAGCAGTTGCCCTAGAATTTGCAATATACATTTACAATTAATTCAAGTCCACTCCTAAATAACACTATACTGTTTCACAGTACAAATACATTATCAAAATAATTCTAACTCCCCCCTCTGGTCTCTTGTTTTTGCATAGAAAAAGATAGAAAAACATGTCATGGCTTTCCTGACAACCTAATAGATGTGTATATACATATATACACAAGTATACATATATTTGTAAATAACTAAAGAGCAATGGAGAAAAAATAAAAGTAAAATAAAAAAATTATTAAAAAAATTTTATTGCCAAAAGGCATATGCACTTACAAAAGACAGAGTGTGTGTGTGGGGGGGAGGTCAAGCACCCTTTAAATGAGATGTGGTCATGCCACAATCCTTTTTCCTACATTCTTCTTTCCTGTCGGGATTTTGAGCATGCATGCACACGTGTACACATATATGCCTGGACTATTTTACACATTGCCAGGCTGGGCTTTGAACTGCTGTCAGCCATGTAGGATCCAGCTCCCCTACCCTTTGGGCTATGGGTCAGCCCTCTTATTTTATTTTTATTTTCTAGGGACACTTTTGCTATAGGATGCATACATACACTGGAGAGACAGAAAGCGAGAAATCACCCCTCAGTGGGGATGGCCCTGCAGGAATCCCCTCTCCTCCATTGTCGTCTGGAGATTTGGGGCACCCATGCACATGCGCCTGGTGTGTTTAAAGCTGCTGGGTCTGGCACTTGAACCTGGTCAACTACGTGGGAGTTCAGTGTCATAACCATTACACCTTCTGCTGGTCCCCAGTTCTCTTGATTGATCTAACAGATAAAAACTTGTTCAGAATAGTAGCAATGACATATATCCAGTTATGTAGCTTATGTAAATATGCACATATGTATACATACATGTGTATATACATTTAATTATGTGTGTGTGCATATACATGTGTACCTGAATCAGACTCTAATGCTTGCTGTGTCTTCAAACTGTGCTTTTTATCTTTTATTATGTCTTCTAATTTTTTCTCGATTGCCAGACAGGATGTACTCAATAAAAAGGAACTGTTGTAATAGGAGCTGAGCACGCCGCCGGTAAGGTGTGGTGGTGGAGGAGACGCATTCCACAGTGCTAGGATGGTGATCTCAGCCTCTCTGTGTGCCAGGGCTTCCGAGAACTCCACCCGCGCTCGGCTTTCCGCTTCTGGGCGGTTCAGGATAACTGGTGCGGCTGGGGTTCTGTATTTCTGTTTTCCGTGTGGAACGCCAGGGGTGGCTGGAGCTGGGTATTGTCCTTTTTTTTACGTCAGTTTCTGACAAACGCCAGCAATGCAGCTCAAGTTAACCTGTTTCTCCTGAGACCAGAGTACTCTGGCTAGATCATGATTATGACTATTAGGTTGAGAAGTCGCACACCTGTACCAGGCGGCGAGTTCCTTGGGAGTGGGACCCAGTCTCTGAATCTGCAGTGCCTAGAATAAAATAAGCATTGCATAAACTAAAGAACTCGACGTAAGAAGTGAAAACCGAGATAGATTTCGGTATACGGATGGGGGAACCCGGGAAAGGAAACTTAGAGAGCCTGGAGGACTGAAGCTCGCGGGCGCCGCACGTGCGCGGGAGCCCCCGCGACCGAGGGGCGTGGCTTGCTTTTCCCGAGGCCTGGGGCAGGGTCAGGTGGAGCGGGGAGGCCGGAGCAGGGGTAGGGGCGGGGCGGAGGAAGGGGCGCGGTCGCCGGCGGTACTGGGAGCGGACCTGCAGCGCTCTGTGTGCACCTTCGCTCGCGGTTCCCCGCACACCCGTTACTCCGCGGCGTGGAGGGTAAGTGCCGCCTCTCCGCGCGTGGCCCCCAGCCTCGAGCCCCGGGGGCTCCGAGCTGTGTGCGCCCTGCCCAGTTCCAACGCGAGCGCTGCTCCGACCCCGGGCAGGGCGGGCGGACGCCCGCTCCAACCAGCGCAGCGGGCGCGGGGCGGGCGGGGGACCGCAGGTGTCCACGTCCAGCGTTTAAGATTGGTGGAGAAGGCCCGGGGCAGAAAGGGTGCCATTCCCTGGGAGGGTCGTCCGGCGGTGGTCTTGGCGGGGCCCAGGCCGACACGCAGCTGCCCGCGCCCCCTCAGCCCTCTACTTCTCATCACAGCTGGCCGTGTGGGGGTCCAGGGAGCCTTCTGGGCCTTCCCAACCCCGAGGTCTTGGGGACAGACAGCAGAGTCAGCATGGTCTGGGCCCAGAATGGTCGTGGGCTGTCTTGAGGATTCGGATCCCACCTGGCCCTGTGGCACGTTCTCTTCAATTTGTTTTATTTTACTTGATATAACTTTTTTTTTTTAATTTTTGGAAAGCTAGATCTGGATATGGTGCGTTGGGAATCCAAGGTTTGCCTTGAAAAGACTCTCCATTTTCTTTGATTGCAACAGAATCTGATTAGCTACACCTGAATCATTCCCCAGGCATTTGAGTCAGCAGGTGGGAGACCTGGCCAGTGATTGCAAATGACCATAATAGGACATTGTGGTTTCCAGCAGGCAGGGGCAGGGGCAGGGGCAGGGGCAGGATTACCGGCGGCCTCTCTGGCTGCTGCTAAGTTGCTCAGCCTGAGCTAAATTCTTTCCAAGGATTTGTGTTCAACATGATAGCCAGACTGCCCTTCGGGAAAACTACACTTTACTACTTTTCCTCAACATCATAAAAAAATGTATCTAATGAAAACATAGTTTCTTGAAGGTATTGCTGTTGATTTTCATGAAAGCAGAAAAGTACAGACTGATCAGAAAGGGGATTTTTAAATGTAGAGAAAACCAGAATCTTGTTCCCAGAGCTGTGTGGTTGTGTAGGAAAATCTGTTTAAACAAGGGGCGAGGAGGAAATGATGCAGCTGTTGTAATCCCTTTCAGGAAGAATGTGTTTAAAGATCTGTTGTTTAGATAATTCGGCCTCCACTATAATTTCTTTTTTTTTTTTTTTTTTTTTCTTACAGTTTTTGCTACAGGGCACGTGGGCTTGTAGGAGAGACACAGACAATGAGAGAGAAAGTGAGAAATCACCCCCAGGGGGGATGGCCACCACAGTCCTCCTGGGACTTTGGGGACACACACACACACACACACACGTGCCTGGTGTGATTTTTTTTTTTTCCAAGGTGCCGGCTCTGGGACTAGAACTGCATGTGGGAGTCCAGCCATGTGGCAATCTAGTGCCTTAACCACCATGTCACCTGCTGCCCCATTCCCCCTAATGTAAAGTAATTTTTGTAGACCTTAAAAGTAAAATGGTAGATCAGTAATAATTCTTAATAATGTATGAATTATACTGAATCAGCACATATTGAATATTGGCTTTGGCCAGGTATAGGCCAGGAACTTGGGCGAGGCAGAAACTAAGGGTTACGGTAACACCTTTGGAGTCTAGCTGCCTACATGCATACAGGCCCGCTTACTGACTCAACTGTGGAGGTTATAGTTCTCATGCCCTTTTTCACATGCAAAATGGAGATGTTATTAATGATATCTAACTCACTGGGTGTTTGCGAGGCTATATTAAATCATTCATTCATTCAGTAAATGTTTTGTTCTTTACTTACTATGCCCCAGTGAACAAACATAACAGAAATCCCCAGCTTTGTGGAACTGACCTTCTAGTACGCTTTTCTTTTCTTTTTTTTTTTTTTTTTAAAGGTTTTTGCCAGAGGGTACATGGAAAATAAAAAATCATCCCCTAGGAGGATATCGCCACACTGTAATACCTTTTCTTCCATTCTCCTCTCGGAATTGTGGGCATGCATGCACACATACTCAATGTGGTTTTCACACTGCTGGGTCTGGGACTCAAACCATGGTCTCCATGTGGGAATCCAACACCCTAACTACCATGCCACCTGCTGGCCCTGACTTTCTAGTACTTTTATATTACCTGGCAAGTAGTGAGAATTCAAGACACTAACTGATTGTACAAGTCGAGTATCTCTTATCTAAAATGCCGTGGCTGCAAGTGTTTCAAATTTCAGATTATTTTGGATCTGCAAATATTTGTATATATAGAGTGAGATATCTTAGGGATGAGACCCAAGTTCATTTGTGTTTTATTTGCACCCATACAGATAGCCTAGAGGTAATTTTATAAAATGTTTTTGAATCACAGCACCTTGACTGTGACCTGTTACATGAGGTCAAGTGTGAAATTTTCCTTTGCAGCATCTTGTATTTTTATTTTATAATTTTTTCTTTATTCATGATAAAGTATGCTCGAGAGAGGAGAGACAGAGAGAGACAGAGAGACAGAGAAAATAATCTATGATCCCTTTCTTCCAGCCTATCAGCTCCCGAGCACTCACACACATACCTGCTATATCTCAGGCTGTCCCATTCAGGGTTTCAAACATCAGTCACCATTCTGGAGCGTTTCAGTATTTCAGTTTGGGAATAGTCCCCTTGTACTGTACATTCAAGTGGCCTTTGACAGGTTTACGGAAAATACATATTATGGAAAGACTGTACATGAATTTGAATTTGAATTTGTTTGCATCCCAAAAACCTTGTACTTAAATTTTTCCGTGAACATTTGAAAGTCCTCTTAAGTATCCCGTTCGTTGCTGGCAATAACCTTCCTGTCCCTTTTTACAGGTGAGGAAACAGGCTCAAAGAAATTATGTCCGTATTTAAGAGGTAAAACCAGGGGCCAGTAGATAGCATAATGATTATGTCACTGGACTCCCATGTAGTCAACCATAGTTTGAGTCCTGGACCCAGAGGTTTGAAACTCAGGCAGGACATGTGTGTGTGCATGCCTCCAATCCCAAGAGGAAAATGGAGGAGAAGGGATTGTGGTGTGGCCATCCCCCTGTGGGGTGATTTCTTGCTTTCTGTCCCTCTCTGTCTCTCCAGTGAGCACATGCAACCTATAGAAAAAATCCCTCTTTAAAAAAAGAAAAAGAAGTAAAACCAGAACTAGTGGTGTACATATGGAGGGAGGTCATGTTAGATTCTAACTAGAGAGCTAACTGCCCTAGGCTACAGAGAGCATGAGAAAACCAGGGCTAAATATTTCCAAGGACTGATGGTATCATTTCCCATTGAACTTTGCTGTCAGGCTATCGTTGGAGTTTTAGAATATGTTGTTCCCAAGATGGGTGGGAGCAGCTTGCATTTCTAAATCAGGGCTGGAGATATGCCCATAGTTTGAGTAATGTCTACGTAGAAATAAAAAGTGTGCCTGGGTTCCCAATCACAGAGCATCTCCTTTGACCTCTGTACCCTACCAAGGCCTGGACTGCATCCTCAAAGAGCAGATATATTTGTTTATAACAGGGCTGTTCTTGAAGCCGTGTACAGCCGACATGGAGGTGCCATAGTCAAGCATAGGAACCAAACTGAAATCAGCTAAAATGCGTGTTGGTTTGGTGGGAAGGAGCAATTGTGGTGGTGTTCCCTGTGATGGAGTGTGTCTTGCTCAAGAGAAGTGGGCAATCAACATTGCTCTATTGGACTTTTTATTTATTTATTCATTTTATACACTTAATCACTACACATCACTTAGTTTGTAAGTTGAATTTACCCAGCATGAATACACCTTCACACCAGTCCAGTTGAGGATACAAAACACATTATCATCCACAGCTAATAATAATTTTCTGTGTCCCATAAATGTCTTGCCTCTATTTTCCTCAATTTCTTTTTAAATAAGTCAAAAACTGGCTTCCAAGGAAGCATATCTGCAAGCCCTTTAAATGCAGAGTTTTCCTCTCTTACTCTGGAGCCCTCCCAGGTCTAGCACAGTCCCTTGTGTAAAAGTTTATTTAGTAGATCAGTACCTGATATTGGAGACACATCCTCTTCCTGAGAAGGTTTTCCTTTGAATGCTGACTTCTGCTTTCTGGATTAACATTAAGGTTGGGGACCAGCATGATGGTTAAGGTGCTAAACTCCCACATGGCTGACCACAGTTTGAGTCCTGGACCCAGCTGCTTAAAACTCAAGCCAGGCATGTATGCATGTGTGCCCCAAATCCTGAGAGGACAATGGAGGAGAGGGGATTGTGCCATGACCATTCCCCCAGGAGCTGATTTTTCACTCTCCCTCTCTCTGTCTCTCCAGTGAGTGCACATGTCTTATATCCAAAATTCCTCAAATAATGATAAATTTTTAAAAATTAAAATATAAAATTAAAAAAATAAGAGTAGGACTGATATTGTCCTCTGAATAACAGATTTATACACTTTAATAACTTTTTTTTTCTTTTAACAGGTTAGTGTGATCTCAACTCAAGGCAAAGGCAAGATATCATGGCATCTGTCTGGGTAAGTCAAAATCAAATCCTCATGATTCAGCATCTCATCTGAGTCAAAGCAAACCTTGGAAAATCACAATATCAAGAAAAATAACCTAAGACCTTCATGTACATGCCAAGATGTTATAAAATGTCACTTATAATAAAATATAGAAAAATGAAGTTATATAGTTAAAATAATTTGTGATAATACCAAAACAGAGAGGTCAAAACAGATAATAAATTTAGTACATAATTTGGTGATTTATTATATGATGAAGATGAAATTTTATATCAGAGAGGAAAAGATGCCTTATTTACTACATAATGTTAGAAAACCTAGCTATTTGGGGGAAAAGCGAATTTGTATTTCTTCTCCATTCTTACATTTAAATAAATTTCTGATAGATAAAATACAGAAATGGAGGAGGTAATATATTGCTGGGTTTTAAAAAATAGTCCTGGACTGGAGTAAGCACTTACAGCTATGACACAAAACCAAAAAACCTGCAAGAAAAATATTGATCTGTTTAACCGTACATCAATTTATTATTATGACAACAAACAATACTGTTAGTAGAGTCCAAAGACAATCCACAGGGGAAACGTATTTCCAGAAAATCAGATGAAAAAACTTATTTCCTTAACATACAAGTACATTGAATAAAACAATAAAGAATTTGGGAAAATTGGCAAGGGACACAAATAGGACATGAAAAGAATTATATAAATGTCCAATAAGTTTATGAATTGATTCTGTACCTCACTGTGAATTGAAGAAATGTGAATAACACAATGAGAAGTCTTTTTTTACTTAAGAAATTGGTAAAGTGAGGAAAATATATAGTAAAATCAGTGTGATAGATAATGTGGGCAAGAGGGCAAGACAGGTACTTTTTTTTTTTTTTTTAGAGATTTTTTCCTATAGAACACATACACTCACCAGAAAGACAGAGAGACAGAACGTGAGAAGTCACCCCTCAGAGGGGATGGCCACGCTGCAATCCCTTCTCCTCCATTCTCCTCTCTGGTTCTTGGACACGCATGCACACGTGCCCGGCGTGAGTTTAAGCCACCAGGTCTGGGACTTGAACTGCGGTTGACTACATGGGAGTCCAGCGACATAGCCATTACGCTAACTGCTGGTCCCAAGACAGGTAGTCTTATACTCTGTGTCACGGGAAGGTGAACTTGATTTACGTTTAGATGGTGTTTCAGCAATATCTATCGATGTTTAAATTCACGTATCCTTTACCTAATAATTCCAATTCCAGTATGTATTGGGTCATCGGAAAAGTCATGATGTATTTTTCTATGTTTTTCTTTGCAAAAATGTATTTAACCCATAAATGTATTATATTTTATAAGTAAGGGTCTGAGGAAACTTAAAGAAAAGCACTCTCTAGCGATGTGACTGCATGGGCAGTGTGGGTGGAGTGTGCTTGGTGCCAAGTTAATCTCTTACAAATGGCCAGGAGGCTGCTCTTCCTCCTTCTGGACCTGAATTCCCTGCTGCTTTTATCGACACCTAGTAAAATCAAATTAGAAAAAAAAGTCTCTCCAAAATGCTGGTGTTAAACAAATTACCGTCTCCCTCTAGTCCTTGTCCTTGGTAAATTGACATGGAATTACTTAGTCTGTCCCTGCAGCTGACACCCTCAAGGTCATTGCATGTCTCTGAAGGGTTGGGAGAGACCCAGATGAGTGTGAGAGGGAGTATATCGATTTCCTACTGCACCCATAACAAAGTACCGCGAATTTAGCAGTTTAAAAAATTCATGTACAAGTCACAGTCCTATATACTAGAAGCTCCCAAATGGGTCTCATGGCATTAAAATCAAGGAATTGGCAAGGCTACAGGTTATTTTCTGTGGACTTTGGAAAGACTCTTCCCATGAGCTCATTAGGTTGCTGGCAGAGTTCAGTTGCACATGGTTGTAGGACTGATGTCTCTGTCTTCTTGCTGGCCTTCAGCTCCTAGAAACCCCTAGACCTCTCATTTGTCCTGCAACTCAGAACAGCAGTGGAGTGTTGACTCCTTCTCGTGCATGGGATCTCTTTGCCTTTCCTTCCTGGAGCATCTCTCTTTTTTTGTTCCTCTTCTTCCTCTAGCCAAAGACAGTTCTCTGCTTTTAAGAGCTCATGTGAATAAATTGGACTCACTGGGATAATCCACAGTAATCTCCCTACTTAAAAGACAGTGTGGGATCAGCAGATGGTGTAGTGGGTTAGGTGCTGGACTCCTACATAACTGATGGTAGTTCGAGTCTGGACTGGGTAGCTTTAAAATCACGCCAGGCACATGTGTGTGCGTGCCTAAAATCCCTAGAGGAGCATGGAGGAGAAGGGATTGCAGCATGACCATCCCCCCTGGTGGATGATTTCTCACTTTGTCTCTCTGTCTCTATCTCTCTGGTAAGCACACATATCCTATAGCAAAAATATCTTAAAAAATGAATAAATAAAAAGGCCATGCTATGGTTGGACTATATCCTCCCAGAACTTCATGTATTGGGACTTGATTGTATTATCTATATTGTAAAGTATTAAATGAAACTTAATTCCTCATGGTGTCCCAGAATAAGGCCTGATGGGTTTTATGAGTGATTGGTTCATGGTGATTGATCATGGGGACCACACTCTCATGAATAGATTAATGATGTCTCACAAGACCCAGTGAGTCCCAGCTCTCATGAGAAGTGGTTAGTTTTCATGAGAGCTGGTTGGTTTATAAAAGAGAGAGCAGTCAGGATCTCTCTATATGTACCCGTCACCCTCTGTGCTCCCAAAGGCCATGCTGTAGGCCTAGGACTTTGGACTTTCCAGCTACCCAAACCCTGAGTTTGTACATAAGCTTCTGTATTCTTTATAAAGTCACCCAGGCTCGGGTATCTCTGTTAGAAACACATTAACAGAGGAAGAGTCTAAATAACCTTACATCTGTAGAATCCTATTTGTCCTAGGATTACGTTCCAAAGATTACAGTGTGGACATTTTAGGAGGGACACTGTCCTACCTACCACAAGGGGCTAGAGGTATGGCCACATTAGGGATGGTAATGTAACGTGTCAGGAAAAAAAAGTGGGGGAGCGGGCTAGAAAGGAAAAGTTCTACTGAGCAAGAGAGTAGGCCTTCAACTGAAGGAGGAGGTGCTGGCTAGAGAGGGGCCCATGCCACCAGTTATCTCCCTCCTGTTTTCTCCTCTTCCCAAATTAAAGAACTAATATTTATGAGTGAGATATCAAGGAGCAAAGATTAAGAACAACTCAGAAGCTCTGTGTAGAATAATATGGCAGTTCCTCAAAGGATTACATACATGACTACCATATAACCTAGCACTGTCACTCTGGGTAGACATCCAGAAGAACTGACAGCGTCTTGAAACAATATCTGCATACCCATGTCTGTAGCAGCATTCTTTGCAGTAGCCAAGAGGTGGAAGCAGCCCAGTTTCTGTTGCCAGAGGTATGGATAAACAAATTATATGCACATACAATGGAATATTATTCAGCCTTAAAACGAAAATCCTGTCACATGCTACAGCGTGGATGAACCTTGGGCTTGTTTGGCTAAATGAAATAAGCTGTTTGCAAAAAGACAAATACTGTATGATTCCACTTATTTGAAATGTCTAAAGTACTTAAATTTATAGAAGCAGAAAGTAGAATGAAGTTTGTCAGGAGCTAGGAAAAGGGAGGAAAAGAGTTGTTGTTTAATGAGCATAGAGGTTTATTTCCACATCAAAAATTTCCAAGAGATCTGTTTCAGAACAATGAGAATATATTCACCCTGACTTAACTGTATGCTTTAATGTTATTAAGATGGAAATTTTACGGATTTTTTAACAATGGTTAAAAAATAATAACACATGGGCCAGCAGGTGGCATGGAAGTTAAGGTGGTTGGATCCCATGTGACTGACTGCAGGATTTGAGTCCCAGACCTGTGGCTTGAAAAACATGCCAGGTGCATGTGCGTGCATACCCAAAAATCCAAAGAGGAGAAGGGATTGCAGCTTGGCCATCCCCACTGGAGGATAATTTCTCACTTTCCCTCTGTCTGTCTCTGGTGGGTACATGTGCCTATACCAAACTAAAAACACACACACAGAAAATTCTCAAACTTCCGATAGTAGATATTATTACAATTAAATTTTATCTGCTCTCTTTTTCTCTCTTTTACATACAAACACAGATGCACCCACATGCAAGCAAGCAATGGAATCCATGCATCTCTGCAAAGCTATTGATCGGTTTGTGGTTACCAGTGCAGGATCAGGTTGTTAGAGTGGTATGATCAAGGGAGATGACTTCAGTTGCCATTTCAGTACATCACCGTTGAAGGTGAAAGAACGGCTGGTTTCTTAGGCCTTTTACATCTTGTCTAGGGACCTTACAGCCCCACCATTGTTTTAGAGTAGCTAAAAATAAGTCTGTATTGCATTAGCATTTCCTTTGTTGGGAAAGTTTAAATACCTCTGTCCAGGCATATGGTCTGCTACTTCAGTCTTGATGAAAGGGCCTGATAATTTAACAATGTGTACTCCTTGGATTCAGGGTTCTTCATATGTTACTTTTAGGTCCATAATAAGAACTCAGGAAGCCCACAAATCAAAGGTCTTAAAACATTACTTTTTTTCTCAATAATTATTTTATTCAACTCTATTTATTTATTTTAATTTGACCAGAAAGGGACAGAATGAAAGAGAAAGTGAGAAGGCAAGCCGCTAGGTCCGAGACTCAAACAAACCACGTTCAGCCATGTGGGAGTCCAGCACCCTTAGCCACTATGCCACCTGCTGGTCCTAGAACATTACTTTTTTTTAAATCAAAATAGTGCAGCAGTATTTCTCTGTGTCCCTTCTTCTGTGCTGATTTTCTCATGCAAATATTCTGAGCTCTTTCCTCTGTTGTCAGTTTCTAACCTGCTTTTACAGAATAATAAATGTGATTCCTATTTATTTGAACTCTCAAATTAGAATTTTTTTAGTATACTACTAGAATTTTTCCAAGTGAACTCATCATCACTGTAA